TCCACCACTACCATCACAGAGGGGTCTTACCAGACACTCTCAGTGTGCTATACAATCTATTTGCATTCTCATCCTGTGATAACGCCCTCTGCCTCGCCAGTAAGTCATACTCTGCGACTAGCACTCGGGCCTCGTCAGTGGGCACGTCGTATCGCCACAGCTCATCGCTGTAGGCTCCTGTCCAGGAGATCCTCAAGGGGACTCTCTATTTGGTTATCTATCTTTGTCATCGGTGTGCCGTGACAGGTGTGAAACTAAAATCCCACAATGTATGATTTTTCATGCTTCTGCATCTACAGTATGCTATCAATTATGAATCTTACATTGAAGCTTAACTTATTGGCTACATGTTCCCCCAGTTTTAAAAGCAGTACAAAAGGAAATGAGTGATAGACAGACAGAACGAGCATGACACTGCATATGAGACCCTAGATCATGAGACGCCGCGGCCCTCTGTTACGTCACGCTATTTCCATATTTGGCAGAGAGGCAAGTTTGACTTGACGGTCAAGAAGTCTGAATTGTGAGGCAAAACTCAATGAAGCTAAGTAAGAGCATCAGATGCCAGCATGTAGAAAGCCAGGTCTCAAAGGCCTTGGCTCATAGAACGTGATACTGAGGATGATTGCAATAAAAATGGGCAGAAGATCATGGTGAATGCGAATGAGACACATCGATTATTTGTTTCCAAATATGGCAGGAGAAGGCGTGATGTGACCATGTCTCAAGGAGCGAATTTAGATTGATAAGGACTGCGACACTGATCCACTCCCCATGCCCTCTGTTCACACTCGATAAGAGTTTAAACTACATAAACATAATGTCTCTGTACTGTCTGAACTACGACTAAGGTCCGATCTCATTCTTATGTGGAAATTCTCTTGCTAGAGTCTTAAAAAGATTTGAGCGTCTCATTTACCGGTTGATGACTGTAGTAGTCTTTCTATTTCGTATCGCCGTTCGTCATCCATCGCTAGCCTGAGATTTCAAATCGCATTCAAAATTAAGATAATGTCTCTACTTCAGAAGCGTCTTATATCCGCGCTGTTGTCTACCTCATTACAAAACAAATCCTGATAATAAATCGTGCGCACTGGCTTCGTTACGACAAGCGGCGTGCTCCGAGCAAGGGACCCAGCCGCGGCCGCGCGGCGCTTCTCGAGTGGAGATAGAGGCCACTCGCCAACTTCGCGAAGCATGCATGCGTCTCTTGGCCACCTTCTGTTCCCTATGGGACGCGAGTCAATTCAATTTGATTCTACTGACAAGTCACGCTCAGTAGTTCTCAGGCTGCCATTGCTCATGTTTTCAAGTTCCTACATTTCCCTAGATGGTAGTAAAGATTGGATACTTTTTGCATTACAGACGCGGAAGCAAACAGTCCATCAAAGACAGGGATGCACCTTTCATCTCCCAGGCTATCCGATTACAGGCAGAGTAGCTGGCCAAAATTTCTAAAAGCATATGGCACATTCTGTATGTAACACGTTCCCAGATCCGAACATATGGAAGGTACGGTGCTTGTTCTTTTAATAGAGTTCGACCGCACTGCAGGACTATGGTGATGCATGCGGACAACAAGAAGCGAGGGTCAGGACACTAGATTTCCCTCATGTATGAGAACAGCCTCCCATATATTGCAGTCACAGGCACCGATCTCTGGTGTATATAAAGGCATATTTGGGCTTTAGCAGCAAGCACAACCGTCTTCCACTTTGCTCGCCACGACTATTCCCTCATCTGCTCACACGACCAATAAGTCAACGGGTTGTCACGTCTGTATGCTGCCAATTTTCTGCCACTGTTGCTCATTGAATTGCACTAGGCATCCATGGTGCTTCCGCAATTGCCCATTGAAATATGGGAACGTACAATCGATCATCTGTGGAACTCGCCCCCGACCCTTTTATCGTGCTCTCTTGTATGCAAGAGCTGGTGTTATAGGAGCCGATTTCATCTAGTGAAACGACTCGTACTTCATACCCGCAAGGCAGTCAGACAATGCGCCCACATGGTGAAAGAGCATCCAATCTTGAAGCCAAGGGTTATGACTTCCATTTTCGAGACCCACCCGTCGCACATTGAGTGCAGGCCAGTTGCACAGCTGGGCACATTTGCCACGATGTTTGCTGGGAGGCTGCCTCATGTGAAGGTGATGGCGATTTGGCACGTCGAGTGGCAATCTGGTGAGATGCACGAGGGTATATTTCTGCACCTCTCGGCGTTCACTTCAGTCGTTCGTCTGCAACTGGCAGATGTCAAGTTCCCCAATCTACTCGTCTTCGGCCGCATCATATATGCCTTGCCGAACTTGGAAGAATTCAGCTATAACCAATTGTCATTCACCAACGAGACATTCGATCCCGCATCCATCGTCCCTCGTCCGACGAAGATCAAGGAATTCAGCTCGCTTAGTGGGGAGAGCTATCAAAGTGCGGTCATCAACTTCTTCGTCAGCATGAAGGAGTTGGCGGCTTCGCTTGAGACGATACACTTCGCATTCTGGGAACCCCCCATTTCGATCAAGAGTATAGCTGCTCTGCGGATAGGGCCGCTCTTGAGGGCTGCAGGGGCCTCTCTGCGCGACTTGTCCCTCTCCTTCTACGGGGTCGATCTGGATGCTGCTGAAGCATCCAGATTAATCGGTAAGGACCAATAATTGAATTTCATCCATTTGCGCCTAATATGATATCCGTTTTTTCAGCGTCAAATGTCGATATCAGCATGAACACAAAATTGGAGAATCTGCAGATCGGCATTCAGATAGGTGGTCGAGTGGAAGATGGTGCTGCTGTGCAAGGCTGTACCTGGATGAGCTCCCTTCTGACGAATGTCTCACCATTATCCCTGAGAAAGCTAACATTACTCATCGATATCCGTTGGAGATGGAAGGGTGTTCAAGCGGCACTATGCAATATCGTCCTGGCGTATCTGAGCACCGATGAGTGCACACGCATTGATGGGCTTTTGTCCGATAAGAAGTTCGAAAAACTGGAGGAGGTGAAAATACAGCTTTACGGAACGGCGGGCACGCTGACGCTGGACGAGAAATGGTGGAACACAACTATACCTCCCCTCTTTCCAAAACTGTGTGCGCAGAATATTTTGAGGTGAGCGATATCCTAGTGCCATTATAGGCTTAAATGACTGACGCAGATGCGGCTTCCACCATACTTCATAGCACAACTGTAAGCCTGAGCTTGCTGGGTTAGCTGGAATCATCTCTACTATTTAACATTTCAAAATGTGACTATACTTCTTGATTCGGAAAATATTCTCCTTGTTTCATGTCATTTGTACACCTAGTACGGCCTGGAATCTCCTTCTTATCCTGCACTGGCAGAGCCTTTGTAGAGCTTAATACTTGTCAATTAATTTACTCGCTAGCAGCTGAACTGCTTCCCTTCTGTAATTCAGCGAACACCCGCATTTTCACTGCAGTGACTCACCAGTCCGCCCCCCTTCAAGATCAGTCCAATGACAAACACACTTGTAGTGTTAGTGCACCGTCATGTGCATGCGAGTACCATATCATAAGCTACCAAGACAGAGGTGCATGTGCCAAAGTGCAGGTGCTCATAAGCAAGGTTGATCCGCCAGCAGTCACGAAAGTGGAGTGCAAAGTCAGTTCGAACGTGGTACAAGCGTTCGATCAGCGCGATCTCGATTCAGATCAACTGCGATCGATTCGAGATCTATATCCGCGATTGCGCCGTGAGGCCCTCATCTGCCATCTCTCCAATGCTATTAAACACTTGCGAGTGATACTGCAGCCAGCAAATCTCGACGCTCGTCCTGATTGCATATCCCTAGAAGCTCGCGTATCAATGGTTCGACGCGTAACAAGTCCTGCAGCCCTGCACCCTGAGAGCTTCTGGCCACGCAACCCATTTCAGTTTTCAACCACGCGAAAGCGTAAACTATTCTTCTGCTTTATAAGATATTTTTGGATGATAATGAAGCTGTTGAGGAGTATGACGTGAGAAGGACCGTTTTAGACGGAGGTGTGTCTGTCAACCGCAATCTCCAGAATGTAGCGCTTACCATACATCAAACATGACACAATTTCTGTATCCGTGCCGAAGACAATGACGTTGCCATAGTGTATCTCTTTTATTCAGCAGCTCGGAAGGTGGCCCGGATATGTCTTGGCATCAATGGCAGATGGGTAAAGATTCCTTTCGTCCAACTCCATCTGATATACTCCAGGGCGCTGCACATTGAAGAAAACCTCTTGTTTGTCAGTTCTTGAAGAAAACAGGCATGTCTCAATGATGAGAAATGACATTCACAGCCTGTACTTATGAATTGCGCGGGGTGTCGGGTTCCGGATGCATTTATATTTGCATTGATCGGATGTTCTAATTCTAACACGTGCAGTTGGTATCATGACGACCAGATCTTTTGTCGACATTCAAATGCAGCCAAAAGTAAGACATTCTGGTACGTTTCGAATCTCATGTAGTACACGTGTGGCAGAAATTTTTTTGTTGACATAGCGCTACCACGAAAACCAACCGTGCATCCCACATTTGCTTTTTTTTTTGCTCGGTTTCCCCCGTTGAAAGTGCACAGCCAATAGAATCGAGGCCTTATATATAGCCTTACTAAATTTATAATGATTGATGACAAAATGAGAAAGGACAATCGTTGTGATTGTCGCCAAATCCATCATGGGGCGTCTAAAGTACGAATGTCCTCACTACCAATCCAGCCCTTGCAAATCACACCGTTGGCAGTGTATTCGACATAATATCGGGATGTGCCACCCTGACAGAGGCAGATTCAATGCAGAAAGGTGAGATGAGGATGATATTTCCAACGTACCGAAAAGGAACTGCCCGAGATGTCCAGGATGAGGCCTTGGATCGATACATCCGTGTGTATGCGGACTTGCACGCTTTGATTCTGAGAAAAAGGTGAGCGTTCGTACATTTGATGGTGATTCACACTAACGATTGCCTGAATTTTCGTGTAAGATGCCTTGAAATAACAATCTGGCTCGGGCGGGCTCACCATAGAATGTTTTGTGGCAGTACCCTTTGAATGGGCTCGGATCTATGAGTCTTGCAAGCAGGAAGCATTGCAGGTACAGTGACCACACGACTGAGTGGGGCGTGGCAAGATGCGATGGCATGTACAAAGCGGCCCATGGTCAGGGTGAGTGCTCCAGGGTGAGGACAAAAGCGCGTCTTTCCCCCTTGGCTTTTATCCCAAACATCGCACCGCATTTATCGACAACGCTGACATCGCCTGAGTTGTGATCACGTCTCGCAGCTACAGGGCGATGCATAAGCTCCCAACATACCCCACACGAGCAAAAGAAAAGTCCGATACGACTCGGTTCGGGAAGAAGATTCGGTGTACACATTCTTCTCGAAGGCCCAGACATCGTATACTTACATATAATGCGATATCGGCAATGCTACGTGCCGGTGGGCGTCCGAAGCTGCTTCTTAGATCTGAATCACTGGCTCCTACCACGGTGATCAATGGCGTTAAAGTTACTATAGGGATTGCACACACCCAGTCATTTATGCATTCCGTGACGCGTCCTAGTATCAGCAATTTTGACGGACTCGATGTCGTGACAGCGGGTATTCCACTCGCCGTTCCCAGAAGTTTTAGCGGGCCGAATCGTACATGAGTTGAATACGGGTTTGCGGATCTTACTCTCACACATCTGCCGCAAGGGGTTGTGTTGCCAGTGAGCAGCTCCAAATGCAGCCTGCTTTGTTCACTGCCGCACATGCTCTTATATTGCGTACATTCCAAAAATCACCGCAGTGGCACGAGTTAGGTCTTGATGTGCGGACGGCTATGCTAGGGACCTCAAAAAAAGCTGGCCGTGCATAGGCTCGGCTCTGAAGTGCAGAATTTATTGAGTGTGGTAGGCAGCTAAATGAGGTGGGAGCAGTAGAGGGATAACAGGTGACGCTCATGGTGTCCGCGGTGGGGTTTGCGTGGGTGTCTCGAGCTTCCAGAGCGATTCAAGCTCACAGCCTTAATTTCCACAGATCTCACATGCATCTCCGAACGCACGGACCGCCCCGTCGCGGATCTGGTTGAATGTTACATTGGTATGTCCCATCGCACGTGTTTTGCGCATGCCTGACTCACGAGGGCTGGTGCCAACCTTGCGTAAGTGCGTCCTGGGTTCCAAAGGAAGGGCCCCATCGAATATTAGCAGGGAAGGCGCGTTGTGAGTGTTTCGCTATATTTGGCTTGGCCTATGCTGACAATGTGTCACAGAGACCAAGCGTATCGCGTGAGGCCTTGTGTTAAGCAAATAACTGATTCAGCGCGTAATATACTGTCGTAGTCTTCAATAACACATCACAACGAATGGTAGCGCTGGCTTGACCATCTCAACATCTATCAATAGGGCGTACATCCTCCCTCACGAACCAGCTCCTACAGATCGCTCGATCCATGGGATACTCCACATAGCACTTAAATATATCGCCCTTCCGAAAATGCATTAGAATTTGCAGCAGAAGAAAACGCGATGCTCGGACGTACGGGGGAAGAACCGTCGGAAATAGCCACGACGACGCCTTCGATCCATGTATCAGCGTTGACACAAACCTGTACAATTTGACTCAGGAAAATATGTGCTAGATATTCGCTCCTCGATGGCGGCCAACGTCAGCGACTGGCTGAACTCTAAGTTAGACCTTCCAACACAGTAAGCGGAGACTCGGAGAGGCTTACCGGAGAGACTTGAGTAGCGCTGCTTCCCTTGCTGTATACATAGACATGATCACCAGTGAGTGTGCGCGGCGCAAGGGGTGATGCGTTGGGGGTGGCGCGACGGGATACGATTGTGTGTACAGCACGACCCATGTTCAGTGTAGATGCTAGGGGGAGTGATCGTGCTCCAACGTCGAGTGTCTCGCAGCTTATATAGTGGTGCACAGCTGGCCTGTAACAACTCGATTCCTGTGTTCCGGACAGCATAATTCCAAGTGAACATGTCGACATTGAGGAGGACATTAACCACAATATAAATTCATCCTATTAGAAGCTCGGAGGCGACTGGGAGGAAGCTTGTATGGCGGCACGAGTTAGGTCCTGATCTCCGGACGGCCATGCTAGCCGGCCATGCATAGGCTCGGCAATGAACTGCGGAGAATCTGGTGAGTGTGGTAGGCGGCTGAGATGATGTGGGAGTTCATCGGAGTGAAGCCGCAGAGGACAGCGTGGCGTGCGAAGTCAATCAAGGCCTTTTGTTTTTCGAGAGCTGCTGGATCTTCTTCTGGTAAGATTACACAGGTTTAATAGTAGCCGCGTTTCTGGGAGCATGAATTATAGCCATTTGAGCTGGCTTGCGCTGGCAGACAAAGCAAGCGGGCTCATAATGAATGACTATGGATACAATATTGACCCTTCGCCAGTCCAGGAGATCCCTCTAGATCTGGAAACAAGCTGCTTGCAACCAGTCGGCATCGTGTAATCCGGAGCATGCTGCACAGCACAGAGCCAGCGAAGAAGTTCGCGCCCAAGTCCACATTGCGGTGTAGCGTGACTACTGTGACCGGGCGCGCGCGGGCCGTCGATCTTGCGGGATTCAGTCGTCTTTCTTGACTTGGACTTTGCTCATCTGAGTAGTGTTGAGGTCCACAACTGTTCTGTGTCATTGTATTCTACACTCCTCCCAAGGCCGTGCAGGTTCGAATCATCTCGGATCTCTCTCGACTTGCTCCGAGAACAGCGTCGCTCTATCGGGGTTGGCCGACGCCCGTCACGGTTCTATTGTATCTCCCGCTGTGCTTGCGACCACTGTCGTCATGCCTAACCAGCTATCTGTGCCGTTTAAGAGGACTCATGCTGCTGAATTGCGGCAGGCGGTGAAGGAATATCTCCTCATGAACCGCACAGAAACGCATCCTGACGCGTTCCGCTGGGATATCAATCGATGGGAGGCTCTGCGGAAAGATGGCGTTGGAGGTGTGGTTCACGTCGATCGCGTAAAGGCTGTCCTTAGGTGCATTTCGCGATGTACTTTGGATGAGGCCACGATGCTTACAACCTGCTAAGCTACCACGCACAGCTTGTATTCATACTCACCAAATTACCGCCGGATGTTCGTGCCCTAATGTCCTCAAAGTGTGTATATCTGCTTATGCGGTATGTAGATTGGTCTAGAGATATCCTATTCGCCGGCATTTGACCTGTCCGCTCCGCCCATCATGATGTCGAACCTGCAATATGAACGAGCCGCTGTGCTGTTCAATCTCGGCTCTTTGTACTCACAATTGGCTTCCTCTCAAGATCGGTCGACGTCGCAAGGACTGAAGCAAGCAATTGTGTATTACCAGGCAAGGTCCGTGCTGTGCTTTTGGTGGACGCATATTGAGGAAATTGTGTCCCAGAATGCAGCGGGGACGTGGAAATATCTAGCGGAATCTGCGATTCCTCAGTTCAAATCATCGCTTCCTCCAAATGACTTGCCACTAGAGCTGTCAGAAGCATTCGCGATCGGTTTGGAGTTCCTGATGCTGGGACAAGCACAGGAATGCGTATGGCAGCGGGCAGTCATGGGTGGGTGTCTTTTATACGCTTACAACCCCCATCGTTGACTAATTATAGATAACTACAAGAACGGACTCATTGCGAAGCTCGCAATCAAGGTGGAACAATCTGCGATTGTCGTGTTCGATGCATTCACGAACCTAGCAGGTCTCATCGTTCTACGGCGCATCACTTTCAACGATTAGAGAGGCATCACCGTCGATTCGACATGTTTTCCCGCCGGTACTGAGCCGCTTACTCGCTGATTCGTCCACCGGCCGTGCTAATCTAGGTTCTAGCATTGGCTTGCGCATATCGAGACTAAAAAGTTGCACTTCGAGGCTGTGGCACAATATAGGAAGAGCGTCGATGACATAGAAGCCAATAGGTGGGTCGCTCGGCGCACCTCTCGTCTCGCTGTCTGATTAATTTGATAGATATGGCTATGAGATATCCCGTTTGACCCAAGCACAGCTCGTCGCCAAACGGGGCTATGACGTTGCCCGGCGGGGCAGTGTCGCGCAGGCTGTCCTGCATGATATCAAGGTGTGCCACGCATGATGCACATCTCCATATCTTTTTATGCTCACAGCAGCCAAAACAAAACAGTCCTTGCTGGATAACGTTCAGAAGAGTTTAGCACGCGCTGAACGCGACAACGACTTGATCTATCACCAGGATGTACCGTCAGCTTCTGCCCTGCCGCCGATACAAGAAGCCGAGATGGCGAAGCCCATCACGCCGCCTGGTCTGACAGATCCGAAGACCGCTATCGGCGAAGATGCTGTGATCTTCGGCGAACTGTTGGGATGGGGTGCGAAAGTCGCTATCGGTAGGTCATGCGAGGACCCTTGAACGTGTTCATGTCGTTGACAGAGACGCTCAGACATTTACCACGACCGTCTTCAGAACTGGCTGAAAGACGAAGTGACAGATCGTGCACAGCAGCTGGACGATAGCGCTCACAGGTACGCTTCTAGCTTATTGTCTTCTTTGCTGAGCTGAGCGTTACCGGCCGCTTGCATGCAATTAAATCAGGCTTCTCGAGGCGCTAAATTTACCCACCGCTCTGGAAGCACTGGATAAGCCAATTGGACTTCCTCCAAGCTTGATCAAGAAGGCGGAGGAAGTGCGGCTGGAGAACGGCCCTGGCGGGATCGAGACATCTATCGAAGGCGTGCGCAAGCTCGCACAGCAGGCAATGAATATCTTGAACGAGGTATGACACAGAGCCATCATCACAGGCTTCTAATGATTGTATCCGCGTACTCGTGTGAATGCATAGGCGTTGGATGTTCTGGACCACGAGGCGGAGGAAGACGAGGACTTCCAGGTTGAGTACTATACGGAACGCTCCCCGTCGAGCGAAGCGAACAAAGACCTCATCACGAAGGCGCAGCGATATCGGACTATCCTGGAACAAGCGGCTGAGAGTGACCAGGTCGTGCGGCAGAAGTGGGACGAGTGGGAGCGAAATATCGTTGAGCTGACTTGGGACGAAGTAAGCTACTGGTGCTTGCATCTTGCGAGCTTCCAGGCTCATCATAACACAGTCAGAATTGGAGGCGTCAGTCCCGTCTTCCACCTTCCCTCCCTCGCAGCGATCCTCCGCGCGGGGAGCGAACCCGACACAGGTGCACGCACGCGCACTTCGCGTTCTCCTTGAATCACTCGACGACCTCATACGCACTCGCGCGGATTACGTCCGGCGTGCGACGCGGCTGGCTGAGTCGGAGGACATCCGGCCTCGCATCTTGAAGGCTGCCGCGGAGATAGAGCGGTGGGTCGAGGTGCAGCCGTCGATGTTCGAGGACGTGATCGAGGAGGAGATGGTGAAGTATGACAAGTTCCGCGTCGGGGTGCAAGAGACGGAGCAGAAGCAGGGGACGATATTGGAGTCGATCAAGGTGATTAGGGTGCTTATTAATTCAACGACGTCGCTGACTTGTTGTGGCTACGGCAGGAAAGGAATAGTCAACTCTTGCAATCGCGCAAGGAGGATCCGTCGGTGAAGGAGCGGGAGCATGCACTGCAGTCTCTGGATTTGGCGTACCACAAGTACAAGGAAATCAGACGGAATTTGGACGAGGGGCTCAAGGTACTCTCTATGCATGCAACGACTCACAACAGCCCCGCTCATTCTCTGCCCGTAGTTTTATAGTGAATTTTCAAACGTTCTCTCTCAGTTCAGGGAGACCTGCAAAGACTGGGTGATTATGCGGCGAAACGAGATGAAGTGAGCCTTCGTCACCCAGATTCACATCACCATGTTGCTGATTCTCCCGTAGTGACCTAGTACGAGCCGTGGAGTCCCTGTCGATGCGGCAGGTCCCCTCTGCGCCGGCAACTCCTGTCACGCAGCAAGCTTGCACAACTCCCGCAGAGCCCGAAGAGCCTGCACCGACTCGGCCCCAAGCGATGGGGCGTGGGGTGCTGGATCTTCCTCCGCCAGACTCGGATGAGTGGGAGACTATGGCATTGCCGCCGGCCCCGAAAACCCCGATGCGTATGCGGTAGGATAGGTAGCGGTTAGGATGGGGTGCATTAGGTGCAAACATGGAACATTCACACGCATGCTAGCGATGTAACCGTCTACTACAGCCAGAGAATTTTTTTACGGCCGTACAGTTTGCTGAGAAGATACGCAGAAATCGAGGGAATGTCTCAGCCACCGACGCGCTCGGGACGCGTCGAGCACGGGCTGGTCCACGTGTCCGCCACCGCCTCGATATATTCATTGATAATCACCATGCTCATCTCTTCCCGACTGCATCGCCGTCCACACAGCATCCTACGTCCCCGACATATAACCCTTCCTGAATACCCTCGCAAACCACAATCACCACCATGGAGCCGCCCTCGTTCCCGTCAGCACAGTTCGGCGAGCGGTCTGCGCCGCCGCCTCCGTACCAGGCGCCGCCTCCATCTGGCTTCCGCATCCCATTGAGCACCGAGTCCGCATTCCCCGCAAGCCAGCAGCTCGGTCCGCCCGTGTGCTTGGATGCGGACCAGTCGCCCATCTACATCGGGTCTGCGATCTTCCCGAACGCGGTGCACCCGTGCAAGATCGGCCCGCACCTCTCGCCGCCGTGCCGCGTGCCGTATGGCGGCGGCGAGCACGAGCACCGCGGGCGATATGACCTGCTCCCGTTTGACCCGCAGGCGATGGAGTGGGTGCGCACGGCGCGCGGGGAGATCCCACCTGGCAGGCGCCCCGTTGAAGGCGGGTATGAGGAGGGCGGGAAGAAGCTGTACCATGCGATGGCGTATGTGCAGGGTCTGAGGGTCCCTGGGAAGACGGGACAGCATTTGGTGAGTGTGGTAGTGGACGGCAGGGTTGACTACCGTTCTGATCGCCTGTTGTGCCTTAGGCTGGATGCAACTATGCCTTCGGCGGTACCGAGCATGTGGCGCAGGAGAACTACGAGATCCTGTGCGTGTACATGACAACTATCTCCATGTACGATGGGACTTATTCCTCTGCCCAGGTGCTGGAAATGAAAGGTTGAACCCGTGCGGGGATCTTATGGCCGTAGGGCTAAGTGATGCTGATCTACACGAACTGGATTGGAAACGCCAACTCATGGATGTACCCATAACACACTGCAATCTATTGTCTAAACCTTATGTATAACCACGTCTTCTCCACTTCGCGCACAGCCTTGCACGTAAATATATAATGCAGTTTGCGAACGCACATACGGCGACACGACGATCCACAGTTGAGATTTCCGATGCTTCCGAACCTAGCGTCCACATCCACCCTGCGACTGAACTTTGCTTGAAATATCCTCCGATCGCTCTTAATCTCCCTCCATAAGTACAAGCGCAGCCATCCACAGACGAACACGGGGTTATGTCAAATTCTCGGCCCAGCTCCACTCTCCACGGGGCGTCGCACAGGCTGAGCAGGCCAGGTGCCCGGGTTCGTTCCTACTAGAAAGGGTTAAGAGCGTCAGCACCGGTGCCAGTGTAAGTGTCAGGGTGTGGTCGGACGCTCGCTGGAGCGCGGTACACATAGGTTCGGGAAAAGAGAACGCGAATGAGAATGGTGGAATGACACTCACAGCGTGCACATGAGGCATGTCCATTCTTCGGAAGGACTGGGCGAGCGGGACTGCGCACTGGTGCTGTTCAGAGTCGCATTCGCACCCTCGCTCGCGTCCGCTGCATTGGGTTTGCATCCCCTCGCCAGAGCCGAGAGCCTAGTACTTGCTAGCTCACTGCCATCGCCCAGCCTCTGTCCCCAGCCGGTCAAGCCGAACGACTCCCTCTTCCGCAGCTTCACCTCGTCTTCCACAAGGCTGCCGTAAGGGATAGCGGACTTGCCTGTCTGTCTGGGCTTCTTTCCTGTGCTCGAGCTGCCGGAAGGTAGCGCTGCAGACGGAAGCCAGTCCTCCAACATCGGCTGGTCTTCCTCCCTTCCCATTCTCTTTACCTTCTTGGTGGAACCAGAGCCAGAGCCAGAAGAGATCGCGCCCGTCCCTCCGGCCGCTCCGACCTTCTGCACGTCGCATCCCGCGTCCGGCACAGCCGTTCTCTGCTTCAAGGACGACGACGAAGCGGCACGGACGAAGAAGTCCGCCCATACGTCCGCTCGTGAGCTCCGGAGCCCCTCGAGCTCGTCTGCGCCCTCCGCCGTGTCGATCATCGCGCGCCGGCGGTCTTGATCTGTCTCTGGAAGGAGCTCGGTGTCGGACGACTCGTCATCGGAGGGCGGTGGGTTGTTACTACCGGAGGGGACCGATGAGGAAGCTAAGGTGGGCGAGTCAATTCAGGTGCGGGTGCCGGAGGGAGAATAATTGTTCTCACCTTGCCCCTGCAGCGCACGCAGCCTCCGCTCAGCAGCCTCCGCCCTCTCCTGCCTCGCGCGCTTACTAAATCAATCATAACACGTCAGCCCTGAAACGTTGGCCAATCAACCGTCTCTTTACCTTCCCGCCTTTTTCCTGAACCCGGCCCCTGCTTTCTTCCTCTCCTCATCACTCACATCGTCGTTGAGCGTTTTGCCTGGCCCGCTGCCAAACGCACCCTGTGTGGTGACGCGCGCGCCCGCCTTGCGCTGCTTGGCCGTCTGCACGCCAGTGTGAGTGCTGGGACCCGCGGGCTGCGTGCGAGTGTGGATGCGGCGCCGACGAGCGGTAGGTCGGGTGCGCTTTTGGGCTCCACCACACTGTGCGGGTGGGAGGTCAATTACGTCGGGAAGGGAAAGGGGGGAAGGGGAGACAGACCATGTATTCCGGGAGCTCGTCCGCGCCGAAGGATTGCTCGCCGACTCGGGCGGAGTCAGCGAGGCGCGTGCCGGATGACCAGTATCCTACGGGGATTGTCCACTACCTCCGAAGAGATGGTTAAGAGAGCAAGTGGCTCACCATCGCCATAGTACCCCTTCATTTGCAGCTCACGCACTTCATTGCGGAGTTTGGCCCAGAGTGCTTGGAAATCGCGGCCATGGTTCATGTGCTACAAAATGCCTAATGAGAAGGAATCAAAAGCGGTGAAGGAGACACACGCACGGCGATGTGTGCTAGCTAGGATCGCGAATGACGTGTCAGATGGGTCGAACACTTCAGGAGCATGTGAGCAGGGCAGACCTCATGGCACAGAGTATTCATCAGCCACGAGACGGGTTGAAACGAGCCGCTTGCACCCCGCAACACCAGCTCTGTCCGATCACACACGATATGAGGTGGAACAGCACTAATCGCGAGAAGGTAACTGACCCACCAACGACCTCGCCGTTGTTCCAGTTGCGGCCCGCGAAGACACGGTTGTGTTCGTACTCCTCGAGGCTGTTGACGACGAATCCGTGCGCCTTCATTACGGGGCGGACCTGCGCGGCGAGTGCGCGGAGGAGCTGGCGTGCGGCCTCATGGGCGGCGGTGTCGGGATGGGGGAGCGCGGTGATGAAGTTGACGTGTTGATTGGGATTGGTCTCGTGCGCGTTGAGGCGGACGTGCACCATGGCAGGCGCGTTTGTCGACTGGTGAATGGACTTGGACAATTGGATGTCTTGAGCGAGTGGGAATGTGGAAGTTTGAGACGGGATCAGCCCCAATAGGCCACAACTTGATCGATCAATATTGATGCTGAACAACTCTCAGCCACCGCGCGCGGACTTTGCTCGCGCACTAACTTTGGGATTGTTCTGAGCACTGGCGGATGCTGCCGCTTACGTGCAGCCTTCCTTTCGTCTTTGATGTATGAAGGTATTTTCTTCTACGAGATACGCCGGGTGGGCCGCCGCAGAATTGTGCGTAGAGTAGACCGGATCCCGGATGTTTTCTTCTTAAGTTACTCCTACACATTCAGCACTCTCCTAGAACCCTCCTTGCATTATCACCACAAGCCTCGAGCGATCTATTCGGAGGCAGATGAAGTGAGAAGATGTGGCTGTCGTGACCGAGACTCGCCCGCGCCCGCACACGATGTCTGTCAATGTGAATCTGTGGCCTCGTTCACGCTGTCATCGCCGCCATGCTCGCTGTTCGCCAATAGGGATTACAGGGAGCACACCTTCACCTCCGCAGTCTCCGATAGTCTCGACGCGTCTGTCTGCTTTGGCGCCTGACACGGTCACCTTGCTCAAAAGCGCATACGCACGTCCGCCGTCCTAACGCCGGCTATATTGCTCTCCACTCGCGATCTCGCACAACTTGTAATCTACCATGGATACCCCAAAGCCAGTACCACCGACGCTACCCAAAATACAGAAGCCCAAGATGAGGCTCGCCGTGCTCACGTCCGGCGGAGATAGTGCTGGGATGAACGCCGTCGTTCGTGCTGTGGTGAAGACTGCCATAGCCAAGTATGCCTCCTCACGCCTCTACGGTCGCTGTTTCTGACTGACCTCTTCTCCAATAGGGGATGCGAAGCATGGGTCGTTCGCGAGGGTTACGAAGGGCTGGTGCGCGGAAATGCCCATGAGACGCAAGAGGTCAAGGAAGCCCGCGCCCGCCGCGACGACGCAAGCTTCGTACACAATTTACGGTTCGGAGATGGCGAGCTGCTGAGGGATGGGACGGGCGATCATATCGGTGGTCGGACGCTCAGAGGGAGGTATATTGTGCGAGTAGGATGGGATGATGTCAGGGGTTGGTTTGGAGAGGTGCGTATATGCGGCTGTCGACGTTTGTGCCCTTGCTCATTGGAGGCTCAGGGAGGAACGTTGATTGGTACGGCTCGGTCCGCAACCTTCCGTACAACAGAAGGGCGGCAAACTGCCGCATACAACATGATCAAAGAGGGCATCGACGCACTCGTCGTTTGCGGTGGCGATGGCTCGTTGACTGGCGCAGACGTGTTCAGATCGGAGTGGCCACAGCACGTCGAAGCTCTTCGCTCACAAGGTACGTATCAAATCTAGAACACGAGGACGTGTAGTCTTGCCACCGCCGCGTCTTCTCTCCCTGCGATTTCCCGCATCCTGACCCATCGTTTCCTCTCCTTTAGGAAAGATAAGTGATGAACAAGCGTCAAACCACCAACATCTCAAGATGGTCGGGCTCGTCGGCTCGATCGACAACGATATGTCCATGACGGACCTCACGATCGGCGCGGTGACCGCGTTGCACCGGATCTGTGAAGCGATCGACAACATCAACTCGACGGCGGTCTCGCACAGCCGCGCATTCGTGGTGGAGGTCATGGGCCGTCACTGTGGCTGGCTCGCGCTCATGGCGGGTGTCAGCTGCGGCGCGGACTCTATCTTCATACCCGAGGCACCGCCAGTGGACGATGATTGGGAGGACAAGATGTGCCAACGGATTATGAGCGTGCGCGGCCAGCACTCATGTTTTGTAACGCACAGCGCTGATTGTCGCCACAGCACCGCGAGATCGGCCAGCGCAAGACTATCGTGATCATCGCCGAGGGCGCACTGGACAAGTCGCTCCAGCCGATCCATGCGGACTACGTTAAGGATGTGCTCACGAACCGGCTCGGACTCGACTCGCGTGTGACGACCCTTGGACACACCCAGCGCGGTGGCCCGCCGTGTGCGCTCGATCGCATAATGGTGAACATGCAGTCTATTGTGGTGTGATGCATGCTGACGCAAAATATTTGGACAAGCCCACATTGCAAGGCATCGAAGCCGTTAATGCGCTGTTGGATTCGACGCCGGACGCGCCGTCGTATATGATTGGCATGCGGGGGAACAAAATCACGCGTGTTCCGCTGATGGAGGCTGTCGCGGTGGTGAGTCGCTTATTCGTTGAGTCATTACTGCATGCTCTGACTATCCTCGCTCTGGGAAGACTCGTGAGGCGTCCGCTGCCATTGCGGAGAAGAACTTTGCCAAGGCAATGTCGCTCCGTAACCCCGAGTTTGCAGAGATGCATGCCGGGTTCTATGCGACGTCAGAGCTTGAGAAGGAGCCGCGATTACCGCATCATTTGGTGAGAACAGATGTTCTACGAGCGAATATAGTACATTAATACCGTGCCGCTCTCCAGAGGATGCGCGTCGGTATCATGCAGTGAGTCTTAGTTCATGCACCGGCTCCGACATATCGCGTTAATATAGATTTCCAGCGTCGGAGCACCGGCAGGAGGCATGAACGCCGCGACGCGTGCGGCCGTGCGATACTGCCTGCGCCAGGGCCACAAGCCATTCGCGATCCACAACGGCTTCCTCGGGCTGCTCGACGACAACGTGCACCAGCTGTCGTGGCTGGGTGTCGACAACTGGATGACGCGCGGCGGGTCGGAGCTGGGCACGAATCGCAAGCTGCCGGACATCGACATCGGCGCGGTCGCGGCCAAGTTCCAGCAGTACAACTTCCACGCGCTGCTGATGATCGGCGGATTCGAGGCGTTCAACGCGCTGCTGATACTTGACCATGCGCGGAAGCATTATCCTGCGTTTCATATCCCGATGGTGCATTTGCCGGCGACCATCTCGAATAATGTGCCGATGACGGAGTTTAGTCTTGGGAGTGATACGAGTTTGAATGCGTTGGTGATGGCGTGTGATGCGATCAAGCAGAGTGCGTCGGCGAGTCGGAATCGTGTGTTTGTGGTGGAGACGCAGGGCGGGAAGTGTGGGTATATCGCGACGATGGGCGCATTGGCGGTGAGTTTCTACGCGAGCTCAATGTGCGGGGCCGTTGCTGATATTGGAAGACGTTTTAGACGGGCGCAGTCATTGTCTACACGCCAGAACGTGGTATCGACCTCGATATGCTACGCCGTGATGTCAAGTTCTTGAAGAAGAGGTATTCTCTTGATACGAAGGGAAAGGCAGAGGGACGATTGGTATTGAGGCGCGTCCTTCATTTCGATCTGCGTGAGCGATTGCTCACCGTCTTGTAGGAATGAGGCCGCATCAGATGTCTACAGCACGGAGTTTATCAAGAAGATGCTCAAGGAAGAGGGAGGGTCACTGTTCGACTCGCGTGCGGCGATGCTTGGGCACACCCTGCAGGGTGGCATCCCCTCGCCCATGGATAGGACGCGTGCGGTGCGGCTGTCACTCCAGTGTATGGCGTTCATGGAGCAGCACCACGCGGAGTTGCTGAAGCAGAGCTCGCGCATCAAGGTTGCGCCGCCCGAGTCGGCGGCGGTGATTACGGTTCAGGGCTCGAAGGTCAAGTGGGTGCCGGTGCAGGAGATGGTGGATCATGCGGACATGAAGAACAGAAGAGGGAAGGAGGTGTGGTGGGCATCGATAAATGAGCTAGTGGAGGCGATGGTTGCGCGGCCGCAATTGCTGGACAAGAACTTGCAGGTAGAAATGGAAATGGATCCGCACTGAAGAAATAAAGGCTGATGGAAGAACTTGTTGATGTATTGTAACATTCATTTGTTGTAGACAATAGAATCCGTAGAGACTCGATGCATTCTGCCGCAACACGTTGCCGTGTGGCCAGCAGAGCTGAATTGCTGCCGATTGGTCAACGTAGATAGGCGTCGTTAAGATTATGCTGGCATGATTTCTCCATCAAACGAGTGCGCGTATATAATGCTTTACACAGATTCATCCTAGTGTCGTTCATTTTGCGTACACTCTCATCAGTGGCAGAGCTACCAGATATTTGTGGCCACCACCAGCCGGCAGCCAATGAGGATGGTTTCCAAAAGCAGGAGCCCCGGGGAATGCCGGGAACAGCGTGGGAAATTTGGGCGTTGGCTGAATCTGCGACCAACGCGCCGTCGAGATCGTGATCCTCGACACGCCCCCTTCTCTCCTCATCGTTCCTCGCGTCTTGCACATCATGCCCGCCGTTGTCAAGCAGCCTGGTAGCACTGTAGTGCGTCCGCCACTGCCATTGAACCACTGCAATCCTAATATCCTTCGTGGTCTGTCGTCTTGTTCATCTCAGCGCATCTGTCACTCAATATTGTTCTTTTACAGTCGATCCCGCAAAGCCGCCCACCGTAAAGTTTCAGGAAATCGTTCGCGATGAGAACACGACTATCGTAAGTCTGATCTGTCTTCTGGATGTAGGAGGAACAAGTCTCACGTTGCAGGCAGGTCGGAAGGCTGAAGATTCCAACGGTACGTTGAGCCACTTATTGGCCACGCTTAGGCTGACTTGCCATTTGTTCAGCCCTCAGGCCACGCGTTCGTTCTGCGCAGGCTAGATACAGGCGCGATTAGCCAGACTACGATGTATCGCGCTGCCTTCCCCGATGCCAGCGACCCTGAGGAGAAGGGCGAGGCCCACTGGGTCAAAAACACGTTCGATATCTCCACCGCAAACAAGGAGGGCAAGGCGCGCTTTGCCGGTGTCTGGGTTAACAAAGAGGACGCATTGAAGCTCGCTGAGGATTATGGCCTTTCTGCCTTCGTCTCCGTTCTCGCCGAGGCAGAGCCAGACCCTCACGTTGTGTACCGCCGCTCTAGCAGGGCGCAGCAGAGCACACCCAGCTCCACTCCAGTGACAACGCGCTCTCGCCATGAGACCGGTCCTACGCCATCGAAGCGCCGTAGGGCTGTTTCGCCCTCCGTGTTCAATGTCACACCGGTATGTTCGCCAGGGGCGACCTTCAGCACGGTGACTGCCGCCGCTCTTCTGAGCGAGCCTGTCATGATGACCCCGACCCCCCCTCCTTCCGGGAAGCGTGAAGCGTCTCCTGGTCCTCGCCGCACACCACGAAACACCTGTACTTCCCTGCCAACTGTCACCCCGCTCAAGCCCCAGAACATCACGCCTGCTCCCAGTGTGATTATGAAGGAAGAAGTGGTGACGGCAACATCGTTCGAAATAACGACCCCGCCCGGGTCGGACGGAACCGCTGTTGAGGATGAGCCAATGGATGAGCAGCGTCTCGCAGATGAGACGATGCATGAGGACATCCAGGAGCAGAAGGAGCTCATCGAGCGGCTGAAGGCCGACCGCGCCGCACGTGAGGCGGAGCAGAGGGTGAAAGAGGAGGAGAACCCCGAGCACGAGCAAGTGCATGCGGAGTCTGACGAGGAGATGGAGATGGCGACGCCTGAGCCTACGACCCCGGCAATTAAGCGGCCACGGGAGGAGTACGACGAGATGAAATTAGATATTCCAGAGAAGCTGGCGGAGGTGAAGCTGGAGGAGGCATCGGATGAGCGTCCGATCGCGACAAACAACCGCGTCCAACGGGCAGAACGCAAGTCTCTTGCCTGGGGTGCGCTCGCGTTCGCTGCGGGTGTTGGTGCTATGTGCGTACTCTCATTACCCCTCCACTTGTTGTGTGTTGGCTGATTGATTCGTTTGCGCTTGCGCTTGCTAGACAACTCATTCCGACGCTGCAGAACTACCTCCCGCTGTAGCGTTATGCACGCTGCCCGTCGCTGTAATATGCTCTTCTGCTCTGGAACTATGAACGCCACGTAGGTCTCGCTTTTACGTTGTACGATTTATTGTGTCGGTTTGTTTTCGCCGTCTCAATCACCTTGATCATGACCAATTGCCTTGTGTATATTCATTGTGTGCTGCGATTCGCGTCGCCGGACCTGTCCTCTTGAGCACAAGTTGCAGATGGACAGCATCCGGATCTTTGCGCTATATTCATCACCGTTCCGCTGTGTTTACGCCCGTTCTTGGCGCCTTGGAATGTGTGCTTCCTCTCGGTTCCACTCGTGGCTGCGGCAATGATACAATTTCATTCTCGATTTTATCGCTTTCTTGCCCTGATTTTCGCTATAGTCATTTATCAGTATCCTCTCAACGTGTCATATTATGCTGCCGTTTGAACCAATTGCATAGATATTATTGAGAGTACTATGGATATCATGGGATGCTGTGAACTTGATATCTGGTGATTTAACGACGATTGAGCGAATGAGGAGGGGGGACTTCAGCAACTGCAAGTCGGGGGAGCATGCAAGTCGGGGGAGCATGCGAGGCTAACATCAAGTCCACCGGCAGGGCAGCAGGGCAAACTTTCTCGACGACGCATCTCATGCAAGATCATTATGCATCCGGTGATTCAATCTCTCAAGCAGTCTTCGAATACTGACAGTCGATTGATGCCGACCGATTTCCCACAGACCTATGGAAGCACAACAATCTACACATTCTCCGTTAAAAAAAAAGACAGGCTATGGAACTAAGGAATCTTCCGTGTCACCTCAACACACTCATCGACAGTCATCACGGATCCAGCATGGCAAGTGCATCTCTCAACCTCTCCGATGTAGCAGCGATCTGACAAGATAAGTATGTCAGTCTTTCATCACATCCAAGGATGATTTAGCGTACATTCCGCGAGGAAAAGGCCTCAAAATGGTTCCCTGGGATATCCAGCACGGGGATGGTCGCCCCGAGATCTTCCTCCCATTCACGCACGAACTTCGCTCGATCAGAGCGTTCAGCGAGAAACGCAACTGCCTCAGAGTCGACAGTGGCCGCAGGATATGCCTCCGTGGAATGGAGCATTACTATTGGAGGCGGACAAACGTGACTGGCAGGAGAAGAGGAGGGTTCATAGTTCACCAGCGCTCTAGTCGCCTGGCGCAATTGTGATCGCAACAGATCTGCAGATGTCTCATTGGTGATGACGGTGCCGATGGTAGCGTCAATAATGGAGTCCGGAAGCGGACTACGCGTACGCGGCGAGGGTGCGTCGATCAATACGATTCCTGCTACGTTAATGCCGGCCGCGACGAGCTGTCGAGCAACTTCAAATGCGACTACACCGCCAAATGACCAACCTAAGAGCCATGTCAATGAACGGCCCTAGGATGATCTGATATCAATCATACTTACCCCCGACAATGCAGCCGCTATCTCCGGCGATAGCTGTAATCATTTCCGCATAGGCATGAGCCATCTCGATTATTCCCCCATCCCATTGTTCGCCCGTCGATAGTTTAGGATTGCGGATGCCCCACACAGGCCGCGACAGCGACGTGAGACCAGCATATGGGAGGACTGTTCCGCTGCCATCGTGCACTAGAATCAGGGGGAGAGGATCGATGCCTACGGCAGGACGAAAATCTTGCAATAAGATGAGGTCCCGGTCCAATTCTGCACATGGGTTGCATTCTCCTTCATATCCCGTCACGACAGACACGAGATCACCAACAGTATTGCATGAAGAGAATATCTCTTCTGGCAATTGTTCTCCGAAGATCGACTGAATAGCATGACGTGTCTCAATCGACGAAAGAGAGTCCATTCCTAAATAGCCCAGCTCCTGGCTATCCAATAGATTCTGCGAAGCAATGCCTAGAACGGAGGAGATCACTCTTCTCGCTTGCTCGGGAGAAATTCGCGACCGAGCAGAGGAAACGTTCTCATCGACAGCATAGGGGAAGGATGCCACAAACCCGCAAGGACGACATTTATCCTCGACATTTCGCACGAGATCAATCACCCGTTCACATTGAGCCATCATGCGGGTCTCCATGGAAGCGAATGGTATTTCCTCATTGATATTATTGACTAGCTCAATGGCCATGAGTGAGTCGATGCCCAGATCCTGAAGACGCGTTTCTAGATGGACGGCCTCGGTATTAGTGCAGCAAGAATGGGCGACAACCTGGATCAGCCGATCTGCAAGCTTTTGCGTAGAATGAGAATAATTGTGAGGGTAATCGTTCCGACCATTGAATCTATCCAGGCCTCCGGGCAGCTGGGAGCCAGTAAACCGCTTGGTCGAAATGTTCAGGAATTGCCCGAGTTTGTCCGCTTTCAATCTCTTGAAGCGCACTCCTTGCAGTCGCGCAACCACACTTCCTTCACTACCCTCTAATTGCACAGCGTATACATCAGCAATGGCCGAACTGGAGGATATGCACTTCACGGAGCAAAACACGCTGTACATAGCCGAGGGATGGATAAGTTCTGGTATCACGGTCACCCTGTCAGTGTGACTGCAGATGAACGCGTCCTTTTCATCGGCGTCTCCGTTCAATAAAAACCCAGCAACTTGGAATAGAGTGTCCATGAAGATGGGATATGCCTCCGGGCCTGCAGAGAGAGGGGAACATTGGATTAACGCATCGGCGTACGTGCCATCGGGATCGATTGCAATACTCTTTATAGTTTGGTAGACATCCGCATATGTTACGACGCAGGCGAATCTCTTGTAGATTGTGGATGCATAAAACAACATCGTTTCACTGCAACCGTTAGCCTTATGCAAATCGCGCATTCCGATGGATTCCATGATAGATGAGAGTTCCGATGCTACAGAGCTTGCCGTATTCGTCCGAATCGATCCGCGGCAGTGACAGAGAATTGAGGCCCCGAGACATGAGCTTATCGTAAATGAAGCATAGAACCACGCAGCAGAGTGAATCGGATTCAAGGTCACTCTGACCGCGTTCCTTGAACGTGGAGCGTAAAGCAGTGGCTTATCGTAGTCAACTTCAGATAGCTCCAGCAAAATGTCAGGATGATGCTCCCCAAGCATTTCAAGCAGTGTATGCGTCGCGAACAGCACCATTTCGTGAAATAGTGACGCTGGACATAGCGCATGCCCAGCGATTCGGTGTCCCTGGAGTAGATGAGCGATTTCATCAATCTTGAACTCGAAAATGCTTTGCCCTCCATTGTCCACGGAAGGTCGCTCTATACACGTTCCACAGAGGGGGGAAGATGATCTTGGGTAAATAGAGCTGATGACCGCGGCATTCTCCCGGTACGGTACCCAAAAGCGAGTCTCGGCGAAGGGATAGAAAGGCACGTCAGCCACCTTCGCCGTCGGCGCGAGGTCTGCATAAACCTTGCGCCAAGAGATGACACTGCTGCTTGTGTAAAGCTTTGTCAAAGCGGAGCACAGAACATTCTCGTCAGCTTGGTGCTTCCGTAAAGTGAACAAGCGTAGAACGACCCCATCAACTCCAACGTTGATCAAATGCTGGAGCGTAGGATGGGGTCCAATCTCAATCCATATCGTATTCTGTTCATCGATATATCGGCCCGCTGGAACTAACTTTGATATCCCATGACGGAATAGCACCGGTTCCCTGCAATGACGCGCGAAATAGTCGGTAGTGAATATCGATGTATCTCCTGGTTGCACGATGACTCCATGCACACCAGAAAGTACGGGGATGATCGGCGGCGACCGTGTCACCCGAGCACCAAGCGCCCGTAGGTCGTCCACGATCGGGTCCATAGCGGACGAGTGGTAGCCATATGGAACCTCCAACCGAACGCACTTGTATCCTTGTTGCAGGCAGCGACGCTGAAAGTTCTGTAGCGAATCAGTGTTGCCTGCCACCACACAACTGGTGGCACTAACACAACGTCAGATTTAGCGCGCCGACAAGACATCAACAGATTCACCTGTTATCACAAGCGATGGAGAGTCCGTCAAAGCACCGATCCGAATTGAGGAGTTGCGAAACTATGGCCAGACTCGCATGGACCACAAGCATGCCAGTTGCTCGTGGTGTACATTTCATACCCATGAGTACCGCGCGTTGTGCAACGATCCAGAGGGCATCGTCGACTGACAGGACACCCGAGCAGACTAGAGCCGCATACTCCCCGAGGCTAAGGAACGTTAGCTGAATTTCGAGACCGCACATGACGTCCGCTCACCTGTATCCAGCAACTGCGTCCGGACGCAGCCCCCACGAGATCCACATAGTTGCCAGAGCGTACTCTAGTATGAAGATGGCACACTGCCATGAAACGATGTCGTCGGCTTGATGACGAGCAGCAAAATTTGGACTTTGCGGGGAGATGATATCGAGGACGCCCGGGAATCCCCAGCTGAGTAGTTTCTCATTGCATAGATCGACTGTCCGACGAAATGACGATATCTTCTCGTAAATGCCAGAGCCCATTCCTGGATACTGCTCGCCTTGGCCGGAGAATAGGAAGATCACGTTCGCCGACGTCTTTGGTATACGAGATATCTTCGCGCACTGCAAATTTTCCATAACCTCATTCTGCGAGCCTCCTGCAACAGCGATGCGGTACCGATAAAGCCGCCTATGGACGGTGGCTGTACAGGCTGTATCGGCAATGGCAGTCCAGTCCTCTGTATGTTGGGCAAGATGATCCAGATACAGCGCTCTCAAGCGCTCCAGAGATTTCTCGCTCTCACAAGAGATTCCCAACACGAGAGTACCAATCTTTCCTATTGTCGCAAAAGGCCGGTTATTTATAGGCGGCTCTTCCAGAATGAGCGCGCAGTTTGATCCAGAGGCGCCAAAGTTATTCAGCAACGCTAGACGTCGCTGATCACCAGGGGGATCCCACTGCGTACAGTCTTTATCGATCACGATATTGTCTCTCGCGAGGTCGGCAATCCGGGGGTTCAACTCCTGTAGTGATATCGTCGCTGGGATCGTCCGTTCGCGCATCATCAGAATCAACTTCGCGAGGCTCGCAGCACCGGAAGCAGCCTCCCCATGTCCTATGTTTGCCTTTATGGACGTCACATGGAGGGGATTGTCACTCGCTCTATTGACAGCGAAGACCCTCCGCAGGCTCTCAAGCTCCACGGGATCCCCTGCCTGAGTCCCCGTCCCGTGAGCCTCGATGACGCTGATCTGATGCGGATGAATCCCTGTGGCATCAAGAAGCTTCTCGTATAGCCGTACTTGCGTCGGGGTGTGCGGGTTTGTAATAGACTCTGCCAGACCGGACTGATTGACTTCCACTCCGCGGATGACGCCAAGAATGCGATCGTTCTCGTCAATCGCATCGGTCAGTCGCTTGAGGACGAACATTCCACAGCCCTCGGCACGGCAATACCCATCGGCAGAGGCATCCCAGGGGCGACATTGACCGGTGGAGCTGAGGAAATGGGCTCGATCAAGCCCAACGTACATCTGCTCAAAGCAAGGCGGGTGAACTTAATGGACGCGTGACCAGGTTATATTACAATACTCACATCAGGACTGGTCATGACGTTTACACCACCTGCAATGGCCGCGTTGCAGTCACCATTCACCAGCGCTCTACAAGCCTGATATATGGCGACGGCTGATGAGGAACATGCGGTGTCGATCACGATGGACGGTCCACTGAAGCCGAACGCATAGGAGATCTTGCCACTCAGGAATGCTCGCAAAGTACCTGATAACGCAGGTCAACTCGTGTAATGCTGGCATGCGGCTGTATCGTACTGACCGGTGCTGTAGTACACGTCAATGTCGTCTCTCAGGTTCTCGACGTAATCATTCGTCGACACTCCCACGTAGGTAGCAAACGTCTTCGGATCAAACGTAGGCGTGGCGTGAGGCACATAGCCAGCATTCTCGAGCGCATGATAGGCTACATGCAAAAGAACTCGCTGCTGGGGATCCATGCTGGTCGCTTCGCGGGGAGAGACGCGGAAGAATTCATGGTCGAATACATCTGCGCTCTCTATGAAGTTTCCATACCGTGTCTTCAATATGCGTCCTGACCTCTCAAGATCATTGGCGAAATCTTCGACATTAAATCTGCTTCCCGGTATCTAGGACAGCCTCAGGCGTGAACGATGATTACTCAACTATGGAAAATCATGCACACCTCCTGGACCGTGTTCAAGCCCTTCTTCAGGACTTCCCAAAGCGTCGAGGTCTCTGATGCCCCAGGGAAGTTCGCGGCCATTCCAACAATAGCAATGGGCTCTTGATGGGGCCGTTGAGGTGCGACGGTGCGAGGAACATTGGCAGATGGGACCGTAGATTCGGCTTCCGCTGTCCAATCAAAAGTTATTGGATCTAGGTCGTTCAGTGCTCGGGCCACGCTACGCCAAAGTCCACTCCCGGGGCCGAGATTTACGAGGTGAGGTCGAGTGTCCTGCTGACTAGAGCTCATATCCGAGCGCAGTGCCCTCACAACATAGTCAAAGTTGACGGGCTCGAGAAGAATCATGTTCAGCACATCCTCGACGAGGCTGCGGTCGAGCGAATGGTGTGTGGTGTCAATAGTTGCCCCATCAACGGTGGAACGCATCGGAAAACATAGGTCTTCGTAGGACGGGAAACGAATCTTCCTTTGAGCGACAGATAACATCACGGCATCCTTGACTGCTCCCAGTTCCGGTGCATGGTAGAGAGTGTGTACATGGGTAAATTGGGATGTATGAGTAGTCGAAGGAAGATAGCCTTTCTTGAACACCTCCAACACGTCTGGTTGGCCCGATACAGTGATACAGGATGTATTTATCGCCGCCGTGAGGTAGACTTTCGGTGTGTTAGGCTATAAATCTGCCGTCAGATGCGCGGTATGACTAATGTTACTATGCCCACATTTTCCTGCGAGTACTGTTTGACGGCTTCCGAGACCTCTGGCCGCGAAGAACCAAAGAGAATCAGACTCCACGGAGAACCGATCCTATATCCGGGAGTTCCACCAATCATAGACGCTGCTGTGCGCTGCGAGTGATATCCGACCCAGAAGGCGAGTCGGAATGCTTCGACAATGTTACACAGTAGAGAGGGGAGATCAGCCGAGGAGGCGACCACACAAGCTGCGAACAGCCCAGAAGAAAATCCAAGCACGCAGCCGACATGCGGCTGGGTCTCCATCTTGCTTAATACTCCCGCTTGTGAGTTGGCGAGGAAGCGCAAAATTTGCATGAGGAACAGATTGGTATTGGCGATGATCGCATTTGATCGGTATCGCGCAGAGATGTTCAGGAGAGCATCTGGCGTCTGAAAATCTTCTGAGTCCACGCCAGCGGTACTACTTTGACATGCTGGAGGCAGGAATTGCAACTCTTGCAAAAATGCAGCATGACATGCTGATAGGGCGACGTGTCCTGTAGGGTGCTTCGCGTCCCGGAGAGCGGTGTTGGTTGCGTGTGGCGAGAAGGATGCAAGCGTTCCTTGCCCATCGAAGACGAAGACATGATCACTCGCCCATTCCATGTTGATGAAGAGGATTGTATCTAATTCTTCAGCACATTGACAACATCTGTGGAGGAAGTGATACGCATATACTCACCCGAAAAGACGTTCGCGTGCGCGCCGTCCCCAAGCAAGTAAGAATCAGCCTGCTGAGTGGTTCAGATGGCAGGCCGTTAGAAGGATGGGCAGACGAGTGAGGGGGGGAAGAGACGACGTTGCGTGTCCCAACATGCGAGTATACTGGCGGAGTTGACCGACAGAGGCAAAGGTTAGAAAACTCATTTGGAAGCTAACATCCACTTCGATAGGGTCAAGCAAATCCTATTAAGAGCTTCCTACAGATCCACGGCGTCCGGCTTGGGATAGTACACGTGACTTCACGTTCTACAGGCGGTGACTGGGAATTCAGAACAGTATATTTGCAGTCTGAAGGTACGCATTTGAGACAGTATAGGTGCAACATTATTCGTATCAATGAAGAGTGGGATCACTGAGGAGGTTATCACGGCACCTTCATTAATTCATTATCGAGGTGTTGCATTAAGCCGCTCCGCTCTGAGCGGACTAATCAACTCGCAACAATGCTTCAGTGTTGCGGTCGCGGCCGCAGAACCCAAGACTAGCACGTCACCAGTCAGTTATAATACATACAATGTCATCGAGAGAAGGATCGCACTTGCGCATGCAGATTAGCTCCGACGAGAGAATATCAACCTTCCGCGCTTCGGCGTCCGTCAGAATTCTTTGCAGAAAATATGTGAAGCGCAAGATTGATCTCATGAGGCGCCAAAAGACAATATCAGCTGTTGACGGTGATGCAGTGAGACTAATACGAGGAGCATGGTGCCTCCACCATCTTCACGAGCGAGACTATAAGCACGGCTTGTGGATATCAGTAACAATTTCTTTGTTTCCGCAGGCACCACGGCGGCAGGAGAAAAGCGCGATCAGATATGTGATGAGGACGTCGTTGACAGCGGCAGAGCTTTCGCATACGGCAATCTTGCGGAGCCGTCTGGTGAAGGGAAGCAAGGAGTCAAGCATCCGAGTGACTTTCTTTTTGATCTACACAATTTTGAACCCGGTATTTGTACTTGTTGTTCAAAGCTGGTCCGTTGACGCCCAATATTCACGGCAGACATATGTGGGAAATTGTGTGTGAATGTCGACTGATTTCTTACACATGCGATAAATATTTGCAATGATGGCATTTCATGTCAAAAATGTTTCACTTTGGCTGCGAATGTGCACTACTTGCCGATTAAATGCTACATTGGCAAACCTTTGCCACAAATGTAAGAACATCAGCCGACATTCCCACACTATTTTCCACACTTATAAATCGCAAAATGTCTGCCGTGACACTGCAGGCATGAAGGCATTTATTCCCGCCGCAAATGCTCTGAAAATGTGTTCTAAAGTGTGACCTATGCAATACTATGCCCTAATTGAGCAACTTTATTTCCCAAAAGGGCAGTCGATCACAATTTCGTGTCATTAAATAACGGTCGCAAATGCTTTCATGTCTGTGGTGTGATTGCTACTAGGCACCCTTCAGCTGGCACGGCGACCCACACTGTTGAACATTAAGTATATCAAGACGAATCGTTGCTTATAATACGGGCTGTGCAGAGTCACGTATTGCTACTAATCAATGCGAGTACTACTTCAACGTGATGTAATTCTGCTCATCTACTGACTACATTTATGGCTAGTGGTGCCAAGTTCTGTAAAAATTTGTAGCAGGCCGTAGCGCCCGATACGACCTCTGTTAGATGAGCCAAACTTGTCAAACATCCTCTGCAGCGAGCTGCAAGATAGATTCAATCGAAGCATGAAGCCGCCGATGTGGTCTAGCAAGAACTGGCAGACAAGTACTCACAAGCACACCGTCGATATTTGCAAGCCAGACGAATATCAAGCAGTACTAATATCAGAATATAACACTGAGCCATTCGCTGGACTTGTATACTGAAGCATCTTAGTGATTGTGATAAGACATTTGATTTTGAGCATTCTCCATACACAGAACGAATGATCTAGGACAATGCGAGCAACAAATATATGGTAATTTACATACACCACTGATGAACAGGCGCAGAACACAGTTGTGACGGAGTAATGGTAGGAAATGGTCCGCTGCACATTATCGCCTGCACCGGGCCCGTCCAGAGTATCGCTCAGACGCCGAGGACTTTAGCAACGTTCTCATGGCGGGGAACGAGCTTGATGCGGAAGGGGACGGGCGAGCGGCCAGATAGCCCGTCATACTCCTTCAAGTCAATCGGCTCGCTGGGTATCTCGACCATGTTGAATGCCCAGATCATACGAGAGATAGACAACCAGATCTCGCGCTCTGCTACGATTATGCCCGGGCAGATCCGGCGCCTGACGAAGTACGTTCAGCATTCTACATGACAATTAGTTCGACATGAGCACTCACCCTAATCCGAACATCCAGTGGTCGCGCTCGTACGGGTCCGCGAGGTTGGCAGACTCGGTGTTGTTAGTGCTGTCGTTGATGTACCTCTCAGGCTGCAACACATTGTTACTTCGAGATAGGATATGACAACGGTGCCGGAAACCTACATCGAATTTGTCCGGGTTCGGGTGCCTCGTCTCATCATAATGCATCGACCAAGTGTTCATGACGACGACCGTGTCCTTCGGGATGAACTGTCCATTGTACGTGAAGTCCTCCGACGCGACGTGGGGAGTGCCGAGCCAGAATGGGT